TCGGAAGAGACTCAAGCCACCTTGGCGGCTCTGGACGCTATGAGAAAGGCTCACGAGCACGAGGTACAGAAGGAAATAGCTAAATTTAAGCAAGAATTCGTTAAACAAATGCAGGCACGCGAGGACATTGGCGTGCTTCACAAAGAACACGAGTACGTAATCCGTTCCAACGATTTTCTCTCTTTCCTCGGTATTCCCATTAACCGAATACCACTCGTTAATCACTCGTTACCCGTTTGCAGGGAAGAGATGGAGGAGATCAAGCAGGAAATCCTTTCGTTATCCGCAAAGTACTCCTCGAAGTGCGTAGAGTCTGCGGCTTTGGAGGAGAAGGTAGGATCCCTCACCAAGCAGCTTGCACAAGCGCAACAACACATTATGCAACTGGACGTGAGGAATAAACAATTGAGGGAGCATTTGGTGTTGGAAACGAACGACAGCACGATAAACGACACCATGCACATGTTGAGGGGCAGAGACAACGAGATTGCCGAGCCGAGGGAGGATATTCATCGACTGCAACAGTTGAAGGTAATTTCTCGCAGCTACCTTCGCCATCAACCTGCCCCGTTTACAGCGTAGATGTGGTTAACAAATGTACGATACTAAATGATTAACCCCGCCGCAATTACATGTTATGGCGCAGTCCCTTACGAGCTTACAGCGATACTCTCCACGATGTTTCGACGCTCGATCGTCGAACGTGCTCGAGAAAACGCTTTCGGATAACGAAATCCAGACTGACAATTGTAAATACATAGTAGTCACAAGCTAGAAACGAACTTAGGTACAGCAAGGCTTCTGTGTTCGCAGGCTTCACCCGATCACGAATAATTTAACCCCCGGTCGGTAGAGTGGGGCCAGAAAAGCACGTTGTACCTTTTCTCTTCCACTCTACGCTCATTCGCAATTTTCTCAGCCATTCGAGAAAGGAAAAGACCTGTTCGCTTGAAACTCATCGTGATTCGTAATGGCAAAAATCACACCTACCCAGCTCAGTCACGTAACCAAAATACGGTACATCTCATCTCTCGAATCGTGGGTTAATATCGAGTAACACGTAACAGTAGCGAAAAAGCATAAAAGGCATAAAATTAAAGCTGCAAGAAGGGTCACCGATCACGGACGTTTTACTGTACCAATCGAGCCTCGTAAGCTCGTAAGCCCATAAGGTGTAATTGTCCACACTGATTGCCCCGGCGCGCACCGATCTCTAACGATCGTGTTAACCCACCACATACCGGCCGCACTGACGCATTATATTTTCGATATTTCACTAACAGCATGGGGAGGCCCCTCGTGATACGTCCGGTGTGCCATCGAAATCTCCGTCGCTAAGCTACTCGCCGCAGCGTGCCCGGAGTAGTCACGAGCCGCTGCTGAGAGCGGCGAGCAGCGAGGAGCAGAGAACGACCGGCGAACGGCCGAGAAGCTCGCTGTCCACGTTGCAAAAGAGCACGCCGGACAAGCAGGCCGCGTTCTCGTACAAGCTTGAACGCGTTAAGTCGGTGTCGTTGCCTTACTCGAGTAACTTGGTTAGGCCGGGCAGTAGTTCTGGCGTGCCGTCGCACGACAGGAAAGAGGTGAGCTTAGGGCAAAAGAGCCAGGAGCGTAACGGCCTGGCATCGCCGCTGTGGGACAGCCTGAGACCGAGGAGCGGACTGCCCCATCAGTATCAAGGTACAGAAGAAAGGTGAAATGGAAGGAAAAAGATACAAGCGAATGAGGAAGCCGATGAAAAGACGCTTCTGGTGGATCGCCGCCGTTTCACGATCCTCCTCCTCCTTCTCGAACTCGTTTCTGCTTCTCTAAAAAGCATAGTAGCTGCATTCGACTTGGATGTTCGCGCGTTTAATGGACATCGAGTCGACTTTGTCTCGTTGCTTTTTCTTTCGATCATTCTTTCAAGCGTTCACTGTTTGATGGACTTTTGGCATGCTCAGGCCTTCGTCTTTCTGTTTTTCTATTTTCCAACGAGGAATGACTCGCGAACGAGGCTTCTGAAATTGTTTGTCGAACGAAGAGACATGGGAAACGTAAGACTAACCGGGTGCTTTAGCCTAGAAATTAACCGCTTCGAGGAAATTAATTCTATTAACGATAGTTAACGGGTGTTCGTCGTCGAGACTAATCGATCGAAATTCATAACGATTCGCGCGTGTGATCGCGTTGTTGTGCAATAATCGTTTTGTTATTTACATGTGTAACGCGTCGATGAGGTTTGGTATGTTCGCGCGGATCATTTTGTCCGGCTTTCCTCCACGAGTATTCGCCATTTTGGTTCCACGAGTATGCGTCTGCCGATCGCTGTTACGTCCAGCGTGATACCAAGCGTAATACATTAACATTACTCGAAGGTTGTCTAACCAAATTGCTAACAAGAGACTTTTAACGGTGTAACGCAAAGTAACCCTGCCTTCTCGTGAATGTGATTTTGTACTCCTTGGATGTCTAATCTGTGCGCATAATAATTTCCATTGTATCATTAACAGGTTTCGGAAGCGCGCGGAATGGAACGGTCTACCATAGAATTTTTAGAAACCGACCCTTCCTAACCACACTTTTTCCACTTTCTTACCGGAGATCCTATTTTT